CGGTTGGTCGAGTAGATGGTCGAGCTGGTCTTCAAGATGGCTTCCTCCTTCTTCCTTTGCGTATCCTGTTGAGCTGTGTCCATGCACCAAGTCCTTCCATGCTCCTCACGTCCCATATGCTCCAGAATGCTCCAAAAGACCTATTTCAAAGGATCAAACATGCATATGTATGCAAATGTAACCTAAAACTACTATGAATGCATAAGAAGAGAAAAAGAACAAGATATAATGCTAATGGATGCTAAAACTATGCAAAAGATGCATAAAAGATGTACTAAAACCATACAAAATGCAAGTACATCAGAAACCTACATGAGTATGAATATCTCTTCTAACACAGGCCGATTATTATATGTTGTTGTCGAATTGCTGGGCCCAAATATTTAGTTAGTATTGTAGCAAGCCAAATTTGAAAATATTAATAAATTCAAATCGTTTAGATAATGTTAAACTACAATATACGCATATATCCAATCATGATTATAGGAGTTACGAGATTGATATGCACTTGCTATATAAGTTTTTAATAAAAATATATATTATTAATATATATGTTAGATTTACATTTATCCATCCGTTTGAAAACCCTACCAATCAATAGTACTTAAACAAATAGTAAAACGAGTATTTGTTTGCATTGCACAGCATCTATATATCAAAATTCTGTGAAATCATAATAGATATTTTGTTTTCTCAATATGGTCTTGGTTGCGAGAACTCGATGCCAAGAGGAAATCTCACTCTGTTGTGTGCTGTGGAGAATAAAATAAATGGTGTTGATATACAATATTCACAACAAAAAGAAAAACGCAATGATATTCTGGGAACGACTAATGAAAACACTATGATTTCTGATTTAGATCCGGGTGTTGTTGGTCTGAGATAGTACCCTTCTATTGCTTTTGGTTGATAGTCAGGTATATTATTATAATTTTTTTTTTACATATCAACAGTATAATACTTCAATCTCTACCAAACTTACTGAGATCGTCTCATGTTTACTTAGGGCGTAAAAATTCAAGCTTTGATCGTCAAAGAACTGTGTGACGATTTCTCTTCTGGTATTACAGTTGATGCGTGGATGATAATCAGCGGTTTTCTGCTGCTCGATCAGGATGAATTTTTTACTCGAACGACAATGCATCGCTATAAAATAGTTTTCTCCAAATCGACCAGGATTGGTGATAGCCCTCATCGATGTTCAACATATTTTTTCTGAATTCATAGAATTTGAGAATGTTTTAGAACATGGTAAGAAAAACAACTATTTACTAGGTACGTAGAGCATGATGCGTACTTTTATATTTATGTCATTTGTGTTTATTATTTTGTTTCATAGTTTTGTGGCTGAATATGTCTTTTACTCGCTTGTAATAAGATTTGATAGGGGAAATAACGTATGTCGAGAATATTGATCGCAACTTCGACTATCATGACACTATACACAATGTTTACGGTAGCATCCAGGATGATTGTGTGCGATTCAGCATACGGAACGTGAGGTTCGTGTATTAATGACTGTTAAGTCGATTCCATCATTATCTTCTTTTCTTCCTTAATATATCTATTTCATTGTCTGACAAACAGAAATTATACGTTGGAGTGTGAGCTATTCGAAACTAGAGCTGCTGAATTTTACAAACACTAACTGGATAACAATGAAGAAAATATTGTGTATATTATGAGATGGCCGGCTCTGAGCGTATATGGAGGTAACTGAGGTTTTAGATTAGGCACTGTGTTTGGTCTTTATGATCACAATGATAAATTAGATGTTGTTTATCTTATTTAATTCAGGAGATTTGTATATTTCATGTAGCGGCCACACTCGGATAATGTTGGATCAGTCGAAAAAATCTTGACGTATGAACAAACCTTGAATTCAAACCTGGATCATTCTATTTCTTCAATTTTATCCTCCTTTCCCTAAATAAAAGAATCTAATTAGATTCGAGTTCACCAAATAAATATCTAGATGTTGGTATGCAAATCTGTTTGAATATGAAAGACTCGACTATTATCACAAATGACTTTCTGAACCGGAGATCGATAAATTTAATAAGTCGTGAGTTCTCTGTTATCGAATGAATATGCATAGTTTGTTTGCATATATTTCCTATAATTCTAACATGTGTTCAAAACATCGGTAATCGTTAATCGGGCAGTCGGGTCAGGATTTGGAATTTAAAAAAAAACGGAGATTAAGCGGGGATTAAACGGGGATGAAATTTTGACTATATTTTATATCTTTTCAAACATTTTCATATATAGAAACAAAATGTTATCTATTAAAATTGTTTTCTTTCCAAAACATTGTATCAATTATGCAAAATATGATAAAATCTCAAAGTTAAAAATTCTATAGGTCTTATTTTCGGAAATGACAATACATTGAGGGCAATTCTATAAATACTATATTCTCTCTCTCACACACACAATTATTTCATTTTAGAACTCAATTTTCTCAAAATTGCATTTTGGCCCTTCTGAGATCTCTTCTTCCTCCCGAAGAAACCTGCACAACGACGCCATTCTCGTCTTCGTCATAAACTTGTGCGGCGGCAATCTTCCACTGTTCGAGTCCAACCAATCTTCACCGTCTTTGTAATCGCCGTCGTCATCATCTATGCTTCTCCGGCGATTATCACGGCTATAGTTCACGGAGAATCTTCGACCATGACGCTACGACGCTGGAACGACGCCGGAACAACGCCGGAACAACGCCGGACGACGACAATACCACACGTGGACAGCAGCCCAAGTGAGATTGACCAAAAACATCGCCGATTTTGATTAATCTCACGGTTGCCCACCGTTGCCGATTTTTCCGACCGATGAATCCCTAAAAACGCCGTTTTTTAGAAACAGATTCTAACTATCAATATTTCATATATTGAAGGCTGCTTATCCGTAGAGAAAGCAAGTTATGAGTTCATCGACGCTCATCAATTGATGAGGACTTATGTAGTCAATCGAAGCGATCAACCAAAGACGAACGTATAAAATGTGTTTGTTCTTGTTAGTTTCTACTAGGTCTTACGAAATCAAGACCAACTAATAATAAAAAGGAGCTCCATCACTATTATGTCGATGCTTCTACTATAATGTTAGTGACTGACAGGTATGTGTGTCTCTCCTTCTTGAGATTCTCTTCTTTAATTATCTATTTTACAAGCGACATCAAAGGAAAAGAATTAACAACTCCAAATAAAGAGAGAGGGAACGACAAGAGAAGACAAATGAGCGACATACAAAAGAAATGAATAACATCTACATTAGAAAGGGAGCAAGGTCCGAAACAGCATTGACGAGCAACAACTGACGATTTGAAAAAATACGTTTTACTTAAGATTGGAGAGAATGAAGCTCGACGATTAAGAGAAAAAGGAAGAGGCACGACTAAACATGTTTGTCGCTGGTCACTCTCTAAATAAACAAACAACACAACTACATAATTAATGTACGTCGTTCCTCAATTTTAATAAAGTTACATGAGTGGTCAAGTACGACTTCTTTGGGACCCACATGGAAAAAAAAGGAAGGACGTACATGCTTCAAGAATAAAACTCTGTCATTGGTCATTGGAGAAAGAAGCTTGTCCATCTCCATTCTTAATCAATCCCACATGGATATTAAAATAAGGACGTCCCTCTTATTTTGCTTAGTTATTTCCACATGATTTAAAATAAGAGTTTGTCACTCGCATAAGCCATTGACGAACGAAGAAAAAAGGTATGTCTTTGGGATCTTTTATTTAAATTATATATTATGTTGTTCCATTGGTATGTGCATAGATAATATTTTAAAAGGGACCATGCCATTAGACGATATATGCTTTTTTGTACATCAACCTTAGTAAACGAACAACAGTCACAAGTGACATGAGCAAGCAACCGACGATATGAAAATGAAGTATTACTCTACAAATTCTAAACAAGAAATTGAAGAGTAGGGGGCAAGTTGTTGGGTGAAATAAATTCACTAGTCGGTCGCTCCTTAAACTCTATTATAAGCTGGAGATATGATCGACTGACGATGTGATCGACCTGTCAGTCCTACTGCTAGTTTCCTAAAAAGCCTCAAGCATCGACATATCTCTATAACGAGGTACGACCGACGATATTCATTAATGGTTTAGCAATGACTAACAGTTTACCAACAACCCATGGTTTTATGTAATTTCCCAAGCCTATTGGAATTATGTAAAATGACCGACGTAACCTCCTAATTAAAAGGAAATTAAGAGGAACGACCGACAAGAGAAATGGAATATTACGACCGACGTCAAAGCCCAACTCAACAAGGATTAGGATAGACAAGCACCTATAAATAAGAGGTCCCATAACAAGGACAAGGGAAAATCAATAAACACACAGAAACCCTAGTAACTACTTATTCTACGCCTCTCGACAAGCAGCGGCGAAGAACCTAGCAACGACGAACTACGATCTACGACGAGCGACAGACGAGATCCTCTTAGTTTAATCTTTGATATTGACTTGTTGTAGCTCGATATTCAATTGATTAATAAGATATCTTCTCCTGCGTCATTCCGTTTATTGTACTTGCGAACCGGTTAAATTTTGCCCAAACAGTCATGTAGCCTTAAGGTTTGCCCAAAAGAGAGAGATTTCTAGATTAAGAACATAAGCAAGAAGTATTAAGCTTAAAGATCCCCTAATCTAACCCATCTCAAACCCTAATGGGTAACTACTCACTACACATGATGAAATAAACAACCAAATGCATTGAAATAGACATCAAATGAAAGAGGAGATAAAGATAAACAACTTTTATTGAAATAAGCAAATGCAAATACAAAAGAGATTATCCAGGATCTAGGATTCAAGAAGTAAGAGCTTCGAGAACACAAAGATGGGATTAGAGCTCTAAAAAGTAAAATACAATAATTAAAAAGAAGCTAAAACAAAAGTAATCTAAAGCTTGGTGGTTTTTTCGTGGCTTTTAGCCTTTAAATACAAGAGGATTTAGGTTTAGGGTCAAAGACAAGTCAAGGGGGAAGCAACATTTTTCGGGTTTGACTTTGACTTCTCAGCTCGATCGAGTTGAAGCTTGGCCGGTCGAGTTGGCGAACTCGACCGGTTGGTCGAGTAGATGGTCGAGCTGGTCTTCAAGATGGCTTCCTCCTTCTTCCTTTGCGTATCCTGTTGAGCTGTGTCCATGCACCAAGTCCTTCCATGCTCCTCACGTCCCATATGCTCCAGAATGCTCCAAAAGACCTATTTCAAAGGACCAAACATGCATATGTATGCAAATGTAACCTAAAACTACTATGAATGCATAAGAAGAGAAAAAGAACAAGATATAATGCTAATGGATGCTAAAACTATGCAAAAGATGCATAAAAGATGTACTAAAACCATACAAAATGCAAGTACATCAGAAACCTACATGAGTATGAATATCTCTTCTAACACAGGCCGATTATTATATGTTGTTGTCGAATTGCTGGGCCCAAATATTTAGTTAGTATTGTAGCAAGCCAAATTTGAAAATATTAATAAATTCAAATCGTTTAGATAATGTTAAACTACAATATACGCATATATCCAATCATGATTATAGGAGTTACGAGATTGATATGCACTTGCTATATAAGTTTTTAATAAAAATATATATTATTAATATATATGTTAGATTTACATTTATCCATCCGTTTGAAAACCCTACCAATCAATAGTACTTAAACAAATAGTAAAACGAGTATTTGTTTGCATTGCACAGCATCTATATATCAAAATTCTGTGAAATCATAATAGATATTTTGTTTTCTCAATATGGTCTTGGTTGCGAGAACTCGATGCCAAGAGGAAATCTCACTCTGTTGTGTGCTGTGGAGAATAAAATAAATGGTGTTGATATACAATATTCACAACAAAAAGAAAAACGCAATGATATTCTGGGAACGACTAATGAAAACACTATGATTTCTGATTTAGATCCGGGTGTTGTTGGTCTGAGATAGTACCCTTCTATTGCTTTTGGTTGATAGTCAGGTATATTATTATAATTTTTTTTT